AGTTGTTTGTTTGCATGTCTTATTTATTGTGATCAAATAGGTTTGGTTTTCACAAAATAATTGCTTCAAGTCAAATTGGAACTTTGTGCCTGCCCTACCATACATTGAATTTTACATCGAATTGTTCCAGAAAATACAAATGCTGTTTATCATTTTGATAGATATTCATCTACTATTTAATTAAAAGACACGCAGCATCATTTTAGGTCAAAATTTCCTAATTCAAAAATTCCGATTAATGAGATAAGCATACTGATAGGCTACTCCTGCCATAATAATCTAGATTTCGCTTATTTTTTTATACGAAACGAAGAAAACTGGTGATGCAAAAGACACATGTATGGTATGTATATAAATAGATAATTTTTCATACCTTACTTAGTTGTGTATCTATAGTATCAGTATAGATATGGTGTATCTATGGAAACTGGGTACGGTTGTGCCACTTTTTTTGAACAGCAATAATTTTGTTAATCCACCAATTACCTGGGATGAAAGTAAATTGAATGGTAATTTGAATATTTGTCTACGTAGTAATACTATAATACTGTCCTTAAAAACGATGTCACAAAATCAAAACATACAAGAAAAGGGCGAGTGTCTCAACCGTCCTTTGGGCGTGGACTATGGACCTTATAGAACATATGAATGTTTATATTATATGTGAAAAAAAAACTTATTCCAATCGTCTTCAAGCAATTCAAAAAATGCATTGATTTTAATCTATCTCGCCATATTAAATTTGTTCTCCGACGATATGATCGGTTTTATTATCAAAGCTCCTCTCTTTTACCCTTCTATAATGCATAATCCAATAACTCTTCCAAAACTGTCAGAAAGAATAGATTTGTAGGGGCTTTCCTCTGCCGACTGAATCATATATCAATGTATGGTCAACAGGACACAAGGCATGGCATCCGCTTGCGAAATATTTATTATCTGACTCGGAGCGAAGTTTGATTGTGGGACCAGATTGATATTTTTTGCACAAACTACGGTTACGCCCATCTACATGCAGATGTATTCAGAAATAGTAGCTTGGTATGAGGTAAAAATCGTATCTAGATAGACTTAAAACCCAAAAGATAGTTTATTAACTTAAAGAATAAGAACCCTTAGCCAGAAAAATTTAAGCTAGTATTCACATTTCGATTCATCTGAATCGTTTAACATGAAAGATTAGAATAAGTATGTGTTTTGTTGAATAAGTATATAAAATATAAGTCATTAATATTGATGCATTTAGTAGATACATATTTTTTAGAAAGCGGATATTTGGATTTCTGATATTTTGAAGTCTAATTTTGCGTCTTGATCATTGGAGGAGCTTCTTTGTAATTATCAATAAAATGAAGAAAAAAACCTTGAGTCGATTTGGGAGTTTCAACATTGTTCGAAAGTTTGTTGAAAATCGTGGTTATCATTTCCTACATTAACTATTTAATTTTTAACGTCTCATAGGGTAAGTTATAGTAAACGCAAAAAATCGAATTTTTTTTTTTTTTTTTTTTTGTTACAATTTATTTTTGTTAATCAAGACTTTAATGTCTTATTTACAAAATTGATATGAGCAAAAAAAAATACAAAAAAACAAAAAATGCAATACATTGAATATAAAATGAAAAAAGTTAAAATAAAAATTAAATTAAAACAGTAATACAAAAATAAGAACATAAATGAACGATGACGTGATGATGTATGCCGCGTACTACGTCAGGACGCGTGCAGACATTGGGCTAGGTGTTTGGTAGATCGGAAGGAAAAATCGAAAATGAAAATTTTTACATATCTTTACGTTTCAAAGATTACTGAACATTTTGGCATACCTTAGAAGAAATGGATGCATGTGTGTGTTTGTGTGTGTGTGTGTGTGTGTGTATGTATGTTTGAATACAATTTCTCGTCCACGATTTCGGGCACATGCCTCAACCAACTTGAAAAATAAAAAGCCATTTGATTTATATTGATGATTTATATTGAGTGAAGATAGGTCTAGCCCTTTTGAAGATACGAGGCAAAATATTAATTCAGTTTTTGAGAAAACGAACCCGATTTGAATGATTCAAAACACATTTTACTTGTATTGACGAAATAAAGAATTGATAGAAAATTTTTCAAAGGCAGGTCTGGCGGTTTCGTAGATACAGAAGAAAATGTAAAAAAATGATATTTATCATTAGATATATCAGATTTTTTATAGAGATTTTGATCATGAGTACTAATTTTGTTAAAATTTTAGGTTCCGTATCAATATTTCTAATTTTTAAAGTATTAACGCCACTAACAACTACTATTTTTATACAGCCATAGCCTCGAAATATTGTAAATAACTTGATATTTAAAAAAAAAAAAAAAATCAAAATTTGATTTACTCAACAAATGGTCATAAGTCACTCTTTTATGGGCATGACAAATATACTTGTCAATACACAGAATTTTTCTGTAACTTTTCTATGACTAGTATATTTATCAGTTACTTAACTGTTTAATTGCGCACATTATAAATTTACAATATTTTTTTTTTCAATTATGAAAATAACTGAATAATAAACAAATTAATTGCCCAATGAAAAACATTGGACTACTTATCGAGAATAAATATTATTCTGCTCATCAATGCTTTTTTTAATATAGCAGTATTTTAAAGTTGTCTTTAAATCAAGTTTTACCCTGGATCTCTAAGACATCACAAATTACTGATATTTATTATAATTGGCAACTATTAAATTAAAAAAAAAGATATAAAAACATTACCATGTATCTTGTGCAGTAAAATAAAGCTGCGGCTCTGTCCGAGAATTATTTCTTTTGCTGTACATTCGCCATAACATTTTATATCGCAGCAATTAGGAAAAAATGTTGCCGTTAAATCGGGAATGTTAATACTTTTCGTCTAGCAATGTGTTGCGGCGACGGCGGCGTTCAAATTACGTACTTTGTTCGGAAAAAATTTCTTGGTGAATATTCGCGTATAATATCGGGTATAGTAAATTAAGCCTCTATTCACATACAACACGTGCTTGTACTCATACCATTTGGTTTTGTTTTTAATGCGATATTTTTTAATGTCCTTCGCAACGGCGACCCTCACAAATCACTAGCCAACGCGCGCCCCGACTCTATTTGCTTTCGTGTACACTCGCATTTTGTTACAGAGTATGAGAGAGGTAATTTTCAAACTTACCTAACAAAAGTACAGAACGGAACAAACTGTCGTTAATAAATTTTGTGATTGCGGTAAATGTTTCGACTTGTTACAAGTTTTTTCAAACTATATTCTGATTAAATTACGACGATTTGTAGTGGAGCCCAAACTGGGGAAAAGGAATGCGTTATCTAAAAGCTTCCATAACGCATTGCCGAAAATATTTCTAATTATATTCCGATGCTCTTGGGTCTTGTTTCTTATCTCTAAAACCAAAAAATAGTGACCTACAACTTAAGTCTAAATAACAAAAATACAAATAAAGGAAAACGCTTAAAGCAAATTTATTTCGATTTTTTTCAGGTGGCGTTGGTTCTTTTAAAATATCTCCATAATATCTCCATAGTATTCCATAAAAATGCTTATGCTTGGAGCATAGCTTGTATGGATCAGAAGCCCGGATTCTGAGAAAGATTGACAAAAGCTGTCTGGAAAGTTTTGAGTGATGCTGTAAGCGAATGAGAATATACAGAGGCCAGATAAGATAGCAATTAAAGAAATTATGCAAAAGAAAAACCTTTACGATCGTTACGATCATTAAAAAGTAAGAAAACTGGATTGGATCCATTCTGTACTTTCGGTATTCGGTACCAGTTCTTTACTGGGAAGAAAAAAATGTAGATAATTGATAACCTACGCGAGAAGAAGAAATACATGGAACTGAAAAGTCAAAAAACAGGACAAGGAAGTATGAAAGCAGAATTTGGGAAAAAAAATCTATAAAACCGTCAAAAAACGTTAATATTAGCAACGAAATGGCAGTGGTAATAGTAAACAGGTGACAGACAGAAAATCATTGCTTCTGTTGCTCTCAGACCATGGAACTGCCTTCGAGCAGACAACCATTTATTATTATTATTAAATTCTAAAGTATCAACAAAGAACGAAAATAATATTGCAATTTAAAAATAAATTAGAAAGATTTACATACCTCATTCTTGATTGATATCATGTCCAAAATACCTTCTATCACGTTGTTTTAATTCCGCATTTCTCTTTCATTTATAGTAACCTTATAGTTGTAATAATTTTCTCATTTCAGATTTCTTTACTTATTTTCACAGGTTACAATTAAATGGTTGTTTTAAAAAAAGAAACTGCGATTTTGGCTATTTCTCCTGTAAGTGCTACTTGAATTTGAAATTTTATCCAAGTACTTGATTCAACATTCCACATAATTTCCATTGACTTTCTTCATATTCTGCAACTTCCAAACTTTTTTCTTTATATTAGGTTAGAAGCTCATAAAAATTAATAAGTTTCTAATACTTATTATCAATATTTTTAATTGTAAAAAAAGTAAATGAAGACTTGGAAACTAATTATTCAAAGTAACAATTAGTAGTAACTAGTAGAGTAACTATTTTAAGTATTTTTATTAAAAACTCAGCTCCTAAATGACAAATGTAGTAGATACTACACTTTGTCCACAGACTATTTAGATATGTTTATACTTCAAGAAAAAAGTGCATAATAAAGTAATTATAAGAAAACGTGCTGTAATAAAGTAAATAAGGTTATATGTGAATTATAATTTTGTATCATATACAGGACGGCTATGCTTTAAGGGTGGTAAGTTGCAAAAAGTTCAGCACTATCAAATTGTAGTGCATACTATTATTTATATTTGATTTTTTTTATTTTTATATCTTCAATTATGGTGAGGATTTATTACACTTCATAAGTAACTTATCAGAATCAATTTAAATATTTGAATTTCATTTAATATATATTCTAAACATTCACCAATTTTATCACAGTGTGTGAATATTGAGAATCTTTCGAAGCTTCATACTTTCAACGGCGCGACGTGCTAGATCATAAATTTCATTTTCGCTTTCCGAACGATTTTTCGGCAATGTCAACATTGGTCTATAAATAGCAGTACCAATTACAGTTTGGAATTGTTTACTACTACCCATATATTGCAGAGCTTTGGTCAACTACTTGATTTTTTATATGAAGAGTTCAATTTAGCAACGAATTTCTCCAGAAAATAAATGAAACTATATGTACATTACGGATGAATTATAAAATTACTTATCAACAGGTAATATAATAAACAAGAAACTAAAATATTCTCAAGAAATTCATTTTAAAAGAAAGAGATTCAACATTTTCAGACGATGTTCAATATTGATCTGATAATTTTAAAATATCAAAACATTCCACTTTAAACTAAACTTTGTCCAGAAACTATAAGTATTCTCAACAAATCTGCTTGTCCCATTGAACTGAATATTACTGTTAAAAGCCATGTCATATGATCGATCTAGGAGAAAAATAGTACCCAAAAACATATACTATTCACAAGCTCACATATTTTTCCTGGTCTCAAAATGACCACAATCTGAAATAACAAAGTGACTTTCTATATTATGTGAACAATATTACAATATACTCTTATAGGTTAATAAAAAAACAAGATCAATTGAGAATTTTCAAAAGTCGTAAAGAAAAGAAACTAATTTAAAACGAATTATTTGACATGTATTTTCTACTTAAAAAATACCACCAAACCAACATCATTCAAGAAAAAGGTAAAAAAAAACAATGGGGTTGATTCTGTCATAAAATAGACCGATGTTATGGCAAGACCATGTTACGTAGCATTTTTCATATAAAATGGTACTAAAAACTGTCAAAATGCTATGTAGTTGCTGTGCAGTCAAGCGTTTTATATAGAAAACCTAACCCAGAAAACGCACAAACGTCATAAAAGAAGGTTCTCATAAGCATACTATACATACATAAGTTCTCAAAAGAAGGTTCTTTGATATGTGCATTTATAATAGATTTATGTATAAAACTACTGATCGAACTGTATATACATAACATTTTGACTTGAAAGTTTTTATTACAATTTTATATGAAAAATGCTACATAACATAGCTTTGCGATAACATTCGTCTATTTTTTACGGCAGAATCGGCTGTTTAAATCTACGTATAATATTACGTACTTAAAATTAGGTATTGTTATTAATAAAAAATATTACTATATTTATATAATTTACTTATCCACTAAGTAACAATTTATGGTTCCATGTTTCCTCTAATCCATTCGAGGTATTGTGGAACTCTTGTATAAATACCAGGAATGCCAGCTTTTCCGCAATTTATTGGTCCTAAAGATACAATACCTAGAAGGTACCAGGAATCGCCGTAGCGGTCGTAGCCCATCAAGGGTCCACCGCTGTCGCCGCTGCAGGAGTCGCGATGCAACTCGCCGCCTGCACAAAGTTGCCTGGACCAAACCTAGTAATAATAAATAATATAAATAAACTAGTGGTGCATGACATCGTGGAATGAAACTTCCCGCACCAAAAATTAACATGTCTAAAAAACCTTTAAAATTTTTTTAAAACTTTGAAAAAAATAGAGATTTTTAAGAACTTTGAAACTTTTGAAAGATTATTTATTTGAATAATAATTTTTTTAATATTTCGATTATTTTTCGTAGGAAAAGTTATTCCAATGGTCTAAAAATCGATAATATTTTTTTTTGCATATCTTTACGTTTCACAGGTTTGTACATACATGCACATACACACACACACATACATTCATTTTTTTCTAAGTATGCCAAAATGTTCAGAACTGTCAACTCTGAAACGTAAAGATATATAAAAATTTTCATTTCTCTTTTTTTGTGATTACTATAACTTACCCTACGGGAAGTCAGAAATATTAAAATTCAATTATAGTATGCAATGTTTGGCATGAATAGCATTATAACTTTAATGGGAGAGTAGTTATAGTATTTAACAGTTCTATAATGTCGGAAACATTTAAAAATATGTATTTGATCTAGCAAACTAAACGAACTGAACTCTCTAAAGGCCGAAATAATTCGTTTTAATACATTTTTTTGGTTTAGTGTGACTTTAAAGTCACTTCGCCCTATAATGTCCGCACTTATGTGTATGAAAATATTATTTGAGGCAGATAAGCCTAGCAAAGATAATAAATATTAATCTTGGTGGTCTTGGCAAAATTATAAAATTAAGATTTATGCGTCAATTCACAGAAAACTATTATTATTTGTTAGAATATCAAAATTTTTGAATTGTTACCTACGCAATCCATAGAGGGTTAGATCAATGAATATAATAGTGTGTAAATCTCTTGCATAAGTGGTATATTACAATTTATATTTTTATAACTCCTCAATAGTTTATATTTATTACAAAAACAATTTCAAATTGATCAGAAACTCACCCTCACATTTAACCTACTGTATGGTTGCATACAATCTTCATTTTTCACAAGTGGTACCTTCAACTTCAGTTTTACTGGACTTGGAATTCCTAGATATAGAAATAAATAATATTTATATAATATTTTGTATTATTTGTATAATATTTTATATTAATTTTATAATAGTAAACATCTTTTGATTACATTTTCTAATTGTAGTTTATACTTTTATCTACGCTATTAATAAACCATTTTAAACCGCTAAACTATTTCAATAATTTGAAACAATAAATAATTCATCGATTTGATTTTATTGATCATACGACACTAGCTTTATTTAATTCAGAATTATAGCATTCTTTACTATATGTTCTAAAAAAATAAAATTTTGGTATTGAAAATATATTAAGAATAGAATAACTTCATAATAATATTTTAAAACATCTAAAGCTGTATTATTATTTATTATAATTAGTTTATTTTTATTATAATCATATATTAATAAAATTATATCGGTAAGTTTTAAAGGCTTTTTATATTTTATATTTTTATACATAGTTTATTGAAGTTAGTTCATTGTTTTGTATTAGTAATGTGGAAAATTGTTAATTTTAAAACTTACCTAATTCTGTCCTTCCCCACCGGCCACCACAAATGGTCGTCCAGGTTCCAAGTTTAATTTAGGAAAATACTCTGGTAAAGGTAAACAAAGTGGCTGAATAAAATCTGTAATAGATATTAAGATATACTTAATACATTTTATCCATGTAAATATTAAACGAAAATTGTATTCTGAATAGAACTCAATAGTTTTTATGACTGCGATATATTATTATATGAATATGTTATTATAATAATTGATTTTATGATTTTTAGATAGCAATTTTTTTAATTTCTAGCGACATTTAGGTTAACATATTGTAGGTCAATAGTATATGATATAGAGATAATGCTTCCGTAATTTTTTTTTTTTTTTTGACAAGATGAAAAATTTCACTCACCACTAAATACTACATTTCTATCCAACCTTAGCAAAGCAATATCGTTATGCTGATCGGATGTGTCGGGCCTGTAAGCATCATGGGGGATGATTTTTTCAACCCCAAAATCTTGAGGTGGATCAGCGCAGTCGTAAAAATCTAATTCCTGGATGCAATCGGATTCACTCTCAGTATTATACTCGCCTAGTCGGACACCAACTCTATTACAAGAAGGTGATGTTAAAATCTTTATTTTTATAATCCAAACACCGATTAATAACTCTTATTTTAATATTGATATTTTTTTATTGATACTAAATGAACATTTTGCGTCTCACAAAAATTTACAATTATTTTTGTAGAATTTAAGTAATATTGTGTTAAATCTTGATTAATTTTATTAGATTTGGAGTATTAAACGACATATCTATATTGATTGGCACTATTTTTTTATGCATTGCTAAAATTTATGTCACTTTGATTTACAATTTCAATATACACCATAAATAAAAGCTAAGTTGCAATTTGCCTTAATGTAAGTTGCATTGAGTCCGTTATGAGTATATAATCATCTTTTGTGGCATTTTACACAAAAGAATTTTAAATAGACAATTCTACTAAAGGTCAATTTTCACTCGCATATTTATACGCATATGCACACTTTTTTTTCAATTTTAGTGCCAAACAATTCAGAATGACTTGGAACGTTGACAAAGCATCGAAACAACAAATCGGAATCAGACGAAAACGTAATCTTTAAAAAATGATAATTTAAATGTTTTATTTAAATTAAAAGTTATTCAAAACAAATAAATTATGTCGCCTGCATTATATAAATAATCATTGAAATTTATAAGTTGGAAATACGAAAATTTACTCACAAACCACCAAATTTG